GTGAAGACTCCATTTGTTGTTATCCATCGTTAGCTATGACTTATCACTATCCAGAGATTCCACAGATTATATATAGTGTGTAGATATATAGATCAATAAAACCATTTGAATATGAGCTGGATACATTGATTAAGCATCCGTAGGAAACACAAAACATTGGCCAACTAGTGACGTTGCATGTGACTAGAATTATGAACAGAAATGCCATACATAATACAATGAATTTGGATCGAATAAGTGCGAAATAAGGAATATGTTTTGTAAGTGTGTGAATTGTGATGGAAATGTTATATGCAGTCGTACGAGAGAACATGACTAAGAGCATCTCCAATGGTGAGAGCCCTCCATGGGCTCTCACCATTTTTTTAAGATTAAAATTTTCAAATTTATGAGATGAGAGCTTTTGTTAATTTTGCAAAGTCCAATGGTAGGCTCTCTTTGTGGGGTTCTCAAGAAAAAAATAAATTATTTTTTTAATTATTTTATTTCATAAATCTGAAAAATATTATTGCAAAATTGAAAATAAATATATAAAAACATAGGATTTGGTGTTTTGAATTTTTGAAAAGAAGGATAAAGAAGAGACAAGTGAAGTTTGGTGTTTAATTAAGTCTTGATAAACACACTTCATCAAATTTTTGTGTTTTGGTTATGTAGAGAAAAAGAAGATATGGATTCAAGTCATGGTTTTGTGGTTGATGTAATGTTTTGTGCTAGTTTGTGTGATATATAGCAATATGAAAAGAAAATAAAGAAAAATTCATCACTAATATCAAATATTTTACACACCAGAAGTAGCAAACTCGTAAAACACAAAGTTTTTCGCTACAAATGCATCACATATAAATGGAGTGTTGACAGTACAAGGGGCAATACAAATGCAAGTGGAATGTAGAAAGTGTTTTATATAGCAGAATAGCTGTAGTCAACAGTATCATCATTGGAGGAGGAAGGAAGAAGACTTAGCAGTGAGTACCACAAAGGTACCAAAGAGAATAGTGATAATGGCCGTGAAGTTGAGGAGAAGCAGTGAGTACCACAAAGGACCATGTTGCCATGTCAAACGATTCTTGGTGTGTGCTGCTACTTCTCCATCTTCAATGTGTAAAATTGAACAAACATATCATTGATCAGTCTTTGATTAGACAAAGCACACACATACTACACTATTGCTTTACTTTCTATAGTTTTTATGTGTGAGACCCAAAATGACAATCCCTGAATTAATCATCACACATAAGAGTTTTTAAGTCTAAAAGATAGCCTCAACATTTCTGCAAACATAGCCAATCATCACAGATAAGAGTTTTTAATTCTTGTAACAACAACAACAATAAAGAACTCTTTAGTAGATCAACATCATATACCTCTTGTTTCCATCAAGCACTTCTTTCACGTTTTCCGCCAGCTCATCAAAATCTTTCCGGTTAGCCTCCGGGAATATAATCATTTTCACTTGACTCCGTCTTGCAGCTATAGTCTTCTTTTCACCTGACAAAGAGATATTTTGTGTATTACAATGAGAGCTTAGTACAAGAAAGTGACAACAAATCTTGCAGCAAATTTTAACCACACTCACTTCAGACTAAAAGGAAAAGGAATTACCTTGCAGCATGAAACTAGATCATTACCATGCCAGTTTGATCAATGTCAATGAATAAGCCATAGGGCTCCACACGTTTGATTCTCCCAATAATCATATCTCCAACATGGAATTTCTTTAAGTCATATGATTCAGATTTTGGCTGCCCACCAGCATTTACTGTCTTCAAAGTTTGAAATTAACATAAGTTCTACCATAAGGAAAGTAATAGGTTGCAAAGTCATGGTAAGAGTTGGCATTACGTTCTCCTGCAATAGAAGCCATCATCATAAACATGAAAAAGCAAGCCTTTGCCTGCAAACCTTGCAAGTTTCAGTATAAAGATGACTTCTCCAAGACTTGATACATCTTCAAATTGAAATCAAACCGAACTTCCTTCCATCCTTGACTACCATTTAAAACATATTCCAAAGAACTCTAATTACTTCATTGGTCTCTGTTCCTTAAATTGCAAGCCATAAAACAATTGCTCAGCCAAGAACTAATGAGTTTCAAACCAAGAACTAAGCCATCGAAGAACATCTCAAGTAACAAGAAAGAGAGATCCTTAACAACGAAATTTCTACCAAAAATACAAATTTGAAATCAATTCATTAGAAAGGATTCCGGAAATCGATAACGTATCAGAAACAAAAATCTCTGATCTATAAAGTTTCCGACCTTAATTAATCCACCTGCGGCCTCTCTATTCTTCCCTCAATCGTCGCCGGCGGCCTTAATCGTAACCTCAATCGTCGGAGAAAAGGCATCGCCATCGCCTTCGCAAAGAAACAGAGAGAAGAGTCGGGAAATGATATATTTCGGCTACTCTCATTCCTTTTTTTTTACGTGTTTTTTTTTTTTTTTGATCAAAAACAATCGACGGCTGAGAGAAGGCCACGTCGTCGGCTCTCATGGTACTCAAGATTTCTCTCAAGAGAGACAGCTCTCTTCTTAATTCACAGTTTTGATTTATTTTTCAAAAAAAATTTCAAGAGAACCTACAAAGAGAACCTGATAATGCATCCATTGGAGATGCTCTAAAATACCTAAGTTAGGGGGTCCACGCAAAAATGACTATTTAAAGTCAAAATCTTCGACCAAACTTACTCATTTGTCTTTTTCAGTGACATGCATCACTCACAAAAGAAAACTAAAACCAGAAGTCATAATTGTGAACAAAATTTGGTAAAGATTTCACGTGTTTAGATAACAACACACATCAATAGGCTTCTTTCTTACTTTCTTTTTGGGAAAACTTCTCTTAGAAATCTTTGCTCTGGAGAATTTCGAAATAGTCTTTGATGTCAAATAGGATGCTGCTAAGATTGTAATCAAAGTTTAACTTGGCCTCAGTAGGTACCAGTTAGCTGGTTACTAGATGTCTCGGCATGCAAGGGGGTTGATCAACAGAAGAAACGATGGTCAACAAGTGTGACCATAAAAAGGGTGTAAGAAGCAAATGATCTATGCACCAAGATATTTAGCAAAAAAAAATATGCACCAAGATTCAAGAATGTTTTGATGATCGAAGTTAACTTTTGACATGGTTCAATCATTCTTGCCGACAAGGTTATATAGCATGTTTACTTGTTCTATTAAATATTTTTTATTAACAGCAACTGGAGCCAGACCATCCATGTATACCCTTAGTATCATCTTCTAAAATCATTCATACGACGACATCAAATGGTACCTACAGAAAAACCGAGAAATGAGGGTGAAATTAAGACAGTATCTAAACCTTGACAATCATATCAGGAAACAAATATAAGTCCATTTTCTAGCAGCAAATTTTCTTAAGTGTAGACGTTTCATGAAAAACATTTTGATACTGAATGCCATTTTGCGTTTAATTCATTAAAAATAGACATGCATGATGCATGATATATTTCGTTTGTAAAAATATTGATTTGGTCTTTTCTAATTTGACATGTTATATACAGCTTGTATTAGTCTCAATAGCATGTCTTTTAATTTCCAGCTATAGTTCCGTTTTATAAAAATAATTGCTCATATAAATAGTCCATAGAGCTGTGAAAAAAAAAGGTCCACAAACAAATGCATGTTTGTTTATGTAAACATGTTAACATAAAAATATTGGGTGTTTTTTTTGTTGAAAAAAAAATATTGGGTTTACATTTAAATGGTATAATTCTCATTCGTTAAAGATATATATCATAACATTTATATGAATCCAGTATGGGCACACCACATCATTTCCAAAATTAATAGCATGTCATAAAATAGTATATCAATACATTATGCATTTGGGTCACAAATGTTTTTCTCTTTGCCATCCATTGAATTTTGGGTTTATCTCTTTGTCATTACTTTATTTTATGTCTCTATCATATGCTAGTTTTGGAATTCACTTTTGATATATATTGGGTTCAACTATTGAGCCGGTCCCAACTTTTCTTTAAAGATCCGTGATTTAAGTTTCCCACCGTACGTGATATTGTAGAAAAAACAAACAAAAAAACAGAAGAGCGAATAAATCATGGGTCATTTTGAAAATTACCTTTTTTTTAGTTATACTTTGAAAAATATTTAAAGTGTAAACGAAAAGAGCGTATTTTTCCAAAATTACTCATAAATCATATCAAACTTTAGGGATTTCCATGAGGGTCACATCACTGACTGAGCCATTCACTTAACCTTCGAGTAAGAAGAGTTTCGGATATGTCGCATACATGGATTCTAGCTCCAAAAGACCAAAACTAGCCAACGCCTGCACTACAGCATACCTAAACATTTCAGAAACATAAATTCCTTGAAATTTTTGACCTTTTAGGAAGGGTAAAATAGAAGAAAGACGAACCCGATTCCGCTGGCTCCACCGGTCACAAGAGCAGTCATACCTTGAAGACACCATCTTTTTTCCATTTTCTTGAATGAAACAAGCAGTGACAGAAATGCTAAATATTATATATAATGAATTATTGAGTATGTTTGTATATGTTGTGGAGAGAACATGACTAAAATATCCACTAGTGGTCCTGCACAAAAATGATCTTCTTTGTCCAATCATCGACCAAATCTTATTCATTTGTCTTATTGAATAGCTCCACTCACAAAATACCACTGAAACTAGTAGTCACTCACAATGGTCAACAAAATTTGGATAACAACTTTTTTTCTTTCTAATGATATCTTTTGTAAAACAGAGAATAAAGAAAGAACTTTTTAAGCTTTTGCATTCATTTTTGGACAATTATAAATTTACAGTGGTGGTTTATGTGATGTAAAACATATTGTGATGTCACATGATTCTTTCTTTGGGAGATATCTAGTTACTTAATAGTAAACAGAGGATGGAACAGAACATTTTGATGTATAATCAAATCTACTATCCAAGAGAGATTAGCATCTCCACAATGTAATTTTGATATCGTTTATGTTTTTGTTCATAAAGTCATAGTAAGAATTTTTATTAGTGAGAAAACATTGAGAATTTAAGACCAACAAACAGAACAGGACAAGGCTATTATCAAGCCTGTGGCTGATAGGAGAAGCCATTAACAGTGAGACCTCCATCAACACAAATGGTTTGACCAGTAATATAAGAAGCTGCTGGTAGACACAAGAACACCACTAGTGATGCAACTTCATTTGGCTCTCCGACACGACCAAGTGGAGTCCTACTCAACAATCCGTTCTTGAAACTGACGTCCTCAAGATACTTGAAGAAACACAATTAAGAACTAGTTAGAGCGACAAGTGATTGTTATATTCAAAGAAAAAAGAAAAAAAAAAGTTGTTATTTTATTACAGATTGAGATAGAGGAGTATTGATGACATTAGGCGCAACAGCATTGGCTCTTATGCCGTCTTTTGCCCACTCACATGCCAAATTTTTAGCTAGCTGAATCAAAGCTCCTGTATAATAAATCAACAAAACATGAAAAATAAAATGACATTAGTCAGTCTTGCAATGAATACTATGCATCTAGTAGTAACTCTGTCTCTTGTTACCTTTTGTTAGACCATAAATTGATCCAGCGTCAAAAGATGTAACCCCTGCAATAGAGGAAACAAAGATGATGCTCCCATAGGCTGAAGCCTTTAGGAGAGGATGTGAAAGCTGGCTAAAATGGTAAGCAGCTTCCACGTTTGTTGATATATGGAAAGCGAAATCGTCTTCCGTATATTCTGTTGTTGGCTTTGAGCGGATTACGCCCACATTGTTTACCTGAATGTTGAACAAATGTGTCTTTAAAAGATTTCCCTCAAGAATATGCTTCACTTGATTAGTATCTTTAAAAAGCAATTTACTTACAAGAATGTTGAGTTTGCCATCAAACTGCGAGGAGACGGTTTGCATCAGTTTTTCTCTCTCGGGACGAGAGGTTACATTACAGACTGAACCACTTACTTGAAACCCCTTCTTTTCCCATTCGCTTAAACTTTGATTAAGCAGAGTTTCGGATATGTCACATACATGGATTCTAGCTCCAAAACTAGCTAACTCCTCTACTATGGCATAACTAAAACATTCCACAATTCCATAAAATCTTTGACCTTATAGAACGTTAAAACAGAGGCAGACCAATGGGTAAAATAGCTGATATAGAGAAAACAGAGAAGAAAGACGAACCCGATTCCGCTGGCTCCACCGGTCACAAGGGCAGTCATACCTTGGAGACTCCATCTTTTGTCCATTTTCCTTGTATGTTACTTGCAATGACCAGAAATGCTACATATTATATATATATATACAATGAGTGAGTGTCAATTTTCTTACCATGAAAAGAAAAGATGAGGGTCAATTAGTGAGTATGTTTGTATATGTGGTGGATATATTAGCCATAGTAAAGAACATGACAAAAATATATGTTAGTGGTCAATAGCAGAAATTAATGACTTTTAATAGTCAAAATGTTGACCCTAAACTTACTCAATTTTGTCTTTTTTTCATTAATTTCATTTCACAAAAGACAGCTGAAACGACAAGTCAGTCAGACTGGTGAACAAAATTTGGTAAAACATTCAACGTGTTGGTTAGGTAACAAAAAAGCAAATGTTTCTTTCATTCTTTGAGTGCTTTTCTACTAATTAGGTTTTTTATTTATTTTTCTTAGGCTTCTTGTTCATCCCATTTTACAAATATCTAAAGTTAACAAATTGTATTACTTTTAAATCTCATTTGTTCATTTCTTCTTTCTATTGACATATTTTCTGCTGAATATTTTCTACATTTGCGAAGGTGTAACTATGCTCTTTTTATTTATAGCCGTTATATTATGTTGTAATTACCACTCTCTTCTTTTTTAATATCTTGTGATTTCTTGCTCTTTCGCTTTTATATAAGAAGTAGATGTCATGTTAAGTATTTTCAAGGTTGAATGAATTTCAAGGATAGATCATTGATTTTGGACAGAAATCATTGCCGAGAGTCGTTTTATACTTATGGTCACCGGCTCAATGATTTCAATCCTCATATTTTTCTGAATCCACGTATTATATTCCTTATAAGAGGCATTTTCTTGGAGTATATATGAATAATACTGATCGGGTAAATAGAATTCGAAGATTCATTATCGAAAATAATTGTGTCCTAATCCTCAACTCACATATCTATGGATTCTTGATTATGGAGCTACTGACCATATCACATTTGAAGTGAACGATTATTCTCAAAGTACGGAAGTCCAAAGAAAATTTATTGTTAATACAAATGATGATTTATCACTTGTAACCGGTGCGGGGGATTGCCAATATAATAATATTTCGTTGGACGTTCTTGATGAGACCAACACACAACACAAGACCCGGCTCAAGCCTGTGGCTTATAGGAGAAGCCATTAACAGTAAGACCTCCATCAACACAAATGGTCTGACCAGTAATATATGAAGCAGCAGGTAGACATAGAAAAGCCACAAGTGATGCAACCTCTCCTGGTTCTCCAGCGCGACCAAGTGGAGTTCTACTTGACAAACTCTCGTTAAAACCGGCGTCTTCGAGAAACTGATTGTTTACAAGATTGTAAAAAACAAGAATAAGAAGTGGATGATGATGTTAATAGTAAAAGAAAAAAAAATGAAAAAAGCGTGAGGGTGTATTGATTACAGATTGAGCTAGAGCAGTGTTGATAAAATTAGGAGCAACAGCGTTGGCTCTTATGCCGTCTTTTGCCCATTCACATGCCAAATTTCTTGCTAGCTGGTTCAAAGCTCCTATATACAAACAAGAAAAAGTTACACTATGACTACGAGGGACATCTATTGGGAATACCAAAGAAAATTAGACCTAATTTACAAATAGAAATGAATGATACTAGGTCAATCAATTAGCCATTGGAAATAACTTTTGGAGAAAGGTTATGAACCATATAAATAATAAGAAAAAGATTTATGATCCAATAACATAGCTATAAATTAGTTTTGTTTGTATTTGTTATTGAATATGAATGGAAACCCTATATTTGACAGTCTGAATTATATATTTCCGAAAATAAAAAACAATTTCTTCTCAAACATTATTTGAATTTGTTAAACGTAATTGAAAGTTCTCCTAATCAGATATATAGATTTTATATATACATAATGAAACATGTATAAATCCACAATACTATTTCGTCAAATATAATGGAAAATCCCTCTATTGATTAATCAGTCTTGCAATGAATGCCTCTAGTATTAAACATGGTTACCTTTCGTTAGACCATAAATGGATGCAGCATCAAATGATACAATCCCTGCAGCAGAGGAAATAAAAACAATACTTCCATAGCCTGAAGCCTTTAGAAGTGGATGTGAAAGTTGGCTTAGATGATAAGCAGATTCCAAGTTTGTTGAAATATGGAACGAGAAATCGTCTGCCTCATACTCTATTGTTGGCTTTGCGCGAATTGTGCCAACGTTATTCACCTATATTGAATAGAAAAAAGTGAGAAAAATCTTAATATATATAGACATGCCATTTCTTAATAGCCTAAAGAATAAGCTTAGTTTTTCTAAATTAAGATTAACTTACAAGAATGTTAAGCTTGCCATCGAATATCGTTGTGACAGTTTTCATAAGTGTTTCTCTTTCGAGACGATTGGATGCATCACAGACTGAACCACTTACTTGAAACCCTTTCTTTTCCCATTCGCTTAAACTTTGATTGAGCAGAGGTTCAGAGATGTCACATACATGGATTCTAGCTCCAAAGCTAGCTAACTCCTCTACTACGGCATACCTAAACATTTCATAAACTTAAACTCCTTAAAACTTTGACCATTTAGAATGTATAATAGAAACAGAACAATGGGTAAAAAATTTGACATAGAGAGGAGAAAGAAAAACCCGATTCCGCTGGCTCCACCAGTCACAAGAGCAGTCATACCTTGGAGACTCCACCTTTTTTCCATTTTCCTCGTACGTTACTTGCAATGACCAGAAATGCTACATATTATATATATATATATATATATATATATATATATTCAATGTATTAGATAAGTGTCAATTGTTTACCAAAAGAAAAAGAAAAAATTAGTGTAAATTAATGAGTATGTTAGAATGTGTGGTGGAGATATTAGCCTTAATAAAGAACATGACAAAATTATACTCCCTCCATATTTTAATAATTGTCGTTTTAGAATTTTTATTTTTTTGAATTAGATGTCGTTTTCAAATTTCAATGCAAAATTTCTTACTTTTTAATGTTTTATGATGTCATAAAACATTAAAAAGTAATAAATTTTGCATAGAAATTTGAAAACGACATCCAATTCAAAAAAATAAAATTTCTAAAACGACAATTATTAAAATACGGAGGGAGTAGAAGCTAATGGTCAAAAGCAAAAATGACTTTGAATAGTCAAATTAAATCTTGACCTAAACTTACCATTTTGTATTTTTATCATTAACTTCACTCGCAAAGTACTACTGTTCACGTGTTTAGGTAACATAAAGGCAAATGATTCTTTCATACTTTTGGTGCTCATGATCATCTTCGGAAAAGTAATGAATTGCGACATCAATTAAATGCGCGATGTGTTTTTATACACCAACTAAGACATAATGCGTTTTTTTTTTTTTTTTTTTTTTTTTTGTGAATGTAATGTTAAATTATATTCAAAGAAAAAATATACGTTTTTACAACAAGTGCAGCGGGATATCAGAAGAAAAGTTTGTCATACAACATAATGCGTATTTCAATCTGAACAAACAAAATTTTCAAATAATCGACATGAATTTCAAATTGTATGCCGAAATCAATATTGATCAAAATGGTCTTAGTCTTGAGTTTTTACTGACTCAGATGCCACATATCGAATTTATACTGAGAGAGATGACACATGTCTACTTTCTGTTGAGTTAAATCCCACGTGTCACTATATATTTAAAACCAAAAAAAAAATTTGGGGAAATATTTATTTCGATTCTAATTTTTCCGTTTAATTCTAGAGCAAAGAAAAGTGGTCTAATTCACACCAACGCTCGACATTTTTCTTTTTCACTTACATGAAATTCGAATTGGAACATCCCTTTCATGATTTTACAAATATCACATATATAGAGAAAGATGGAAGGAGATTAAGGTGGAAATTTAAATTGCATCGAATTAGGGTTTGTGGAGAATAAGAAAGGTCTCTCTTGGTCAGGTTCATGTGCTTAATTTTCCCTCCAAACACCAATATGTTGATATATCTTCCCTTCTTAATTTTCTCTTCAGCCTGAGCATTTACAATTCTTCCACTCAGGCTGTGGATGAGTGGTAGAACAAAGAAATCTCAATTAGAATATGTAAACTATAGGTATCCGATCATAGATATTGATTACTCAATGTATGCTCATCGATTGAGGTTCTCACCAACTAACAGGAGGGAGACAAATTAGAGATCAAAGTAATTATAAGAATGAATTAGTTTAGTGTTAAATATTAATGGGGCAAATGAATATGACGTAAATATGATACCTCTTCCATTAAATTAATATGGGAGAATAGATGATGTAAGTGCTGATGTTATTCAGAATATAATGAAATTAAGGATAGTAACATGTTTAGAATATAATGAAATTCAAGAGGTAACTATTTATTATTATAGGTAAGATGAATTAAAAGAGAAATTTATTTTTGGGTACTTGGACAAGTTTTTCTTCGATAAAATCTTTTACATGAGAATATATAGTTGGACGTTCTTGATGACACCAACACAGAAGACAAGACCCGGCTCAAGCCTGTGGCTGGTAGGAGAAGCCATTAACAGTAAGGCCTCCATCAACACAAATGGTCTGACCAGTAATATATGAAGCTGCAGGTAGACACAGAAAAGCCACAAGTGATGCAACCTCTCTTGGTTCTCCAACGCGACCAAGTGGAGTTCTACCGGATAAACTCTCGTTAAAACCGGCGTCTTCCAGAAACTGATTGTTTACAAGATTGTAAAAAAACAAGAATGAGAAGTGGATGATGTTAATAGTAAAAGAAACAAATTATGAAAAAGCGCGAGGGTGTATTGATTACAGCTTGAACCAGAGTAGTGCGGATAAAATTAGGAGCAACAGCATTAGCTCTTATGCCGTCTTTTGCCCATTCACAAGCCAAATTTCTTGCTAGCTGATTCAAAGCTCCTGTACATATACACAATAATATAGAATCCCTTAGAAAATTAGACCTAGTATAGAAATACAAAGCTTTTATATTATTGTGTGACATTAGGACTATATATCAAGCCGTTGGAAGTGGGTTTTGGAGAAAGATTATGAACCATTAAGAACAAGCTTTATGATCCATCAAGCTTTATTAAAAATAGGTTTAAAATAGTATATGATTGAAAACCCTATATTATGACAGTTTGGTCAATCGAATCATCCCAACTGGTTTTGGGGTTGAAAAATAATGAATTTTGCATACCACACTAAAATAATTTATTAATGTAGCTCTCAACATTAAATTCTGCTTTTCCTCATCAAATTAACATCATTTAGAAATATTAAACGTAATTAAAAATTCTCCTAGTCAGATATATAAGTTCATATATATATACATAAATGCACAATACTATTTTGTCTAGTATAATGGAAAATCTCTCTATTGATTTGTCAGTCTTGTAATGAACCCTAGTTACCTTTTGTTAGACCATAAATGGATGCAGCATCAAATGATACAATCCCTGCAATAGAGGATATAAAGACGATGCTTCCATAGCCTGAAGCCTTTAGAAGAGGATGTGAAAGTTGGCTTAGATGATAAGCAGACTCCAAATTTGTTGAAATATGGAACGAGAAATCATCTGCCAAATATTCTATTGTTGGCTTTGTGCGAATTGTGCCAACGTTGTTCACCTATGTTGAACAGAAAAGAGTAAGATATATCCTACTATACATGTCATTTCTTCATAGTCTAAAGAAAAATCTTGGGTTCTTTACATTAAGATTAACTTACAAGAATGTTAAGCTTGCCATCGAATATCGTGGTGACATTTTGCATAAGTGTTTCTCTTTCGAGACGATTGGATGCATCACAGACCGAACCACTCACTTGAAATCCTTTCTTCTCCCATTCACATAAACTTTGATCCAGCAGAGTTTTTGATATGTCACATACATGGATTTTTGCCCCAAAACCGGCTAGTTCCTCTACTATTGCATGCCTAAAGTTTCCCACAAAAAAAGAGAACATCTTAAGTAAAAGCAAAACAATGGTAAAAAAATGATATAGAGAGAAGAAAGATGAACCCGATTCCGCTGGCTCCACCGGTTACAAGAGCAGTCATATTTTGAAGACTCCATCTTTTATCCATTTTTTTGTTTGCTTTACCTAGCAATGACCACAAATACATAACATATATAGAATCAGAGTAGATAAAATATTAATGGAAAACTTTGAAAGAGGGTTCACTTCTTATAAAATCTTAGATCTATCACCAAACCCGGATATTCGAATTTTCAGCTTAGAATAGTCAGAACTATATTCATTAAATATATTTATATATAACAATGCATATAATTTAAATTATTTATACTATATATTAGATTTTGTTTTTGAAAATACTATTTAATAATTTTTTAGACATTTTAATATTATATTATTATTATCATATTTTTAACAGATCTAAAACTGGAATCGCGGATATCTTGATGTTTGGATGGATATCCGAAGTCCAAATCTCCAGAAACCATGAATCCGAACAGTTGTAGAAACAGACCATTCTATTACAGGATATCAGAATCTATTTTCATCCCCATCTACCACGTACAAATTAGATAACAGGTAAAAAAATATCCAAATTTGTTCAAAACAAAAATAATTACATAGTTCCATTACTATTTAAGATCTTAAATACCACTCAACTTTTTGCTAGTGAATGCAAATATTTAAAAACAAACGTGACAAAGTAAGGTGTTCCTTTGATAGTTTTTATTTTTTGGGAGAACCAAAACCGGTATGGAGGTTCGTGCCTTGCTCGAAAACTATTCGCAAGTGGGATTTGTAATAGAGAAATAATCAAACAAATCACAAGAAACTGGACAAGGTCATTCTTGTCGTGTAGAATCATATACATCACAAGATAAAACACGAAGTTTAAGACAAACAGATAAAACACGACATACACGGAAAAACAGCAATAAATAAGTATAATCAGTGGTTTGACAAAAAAAAAAAAAAGTATAATCAGTGAAATAGACGGAGCAACAACAACAAAAAATAAGTACAATATTAATCATGTTGTATTACAATTAACATTTAAAATCAGTGACATAGACGGTAATATATCCTATCATTGCTACAATTCTCAAGTTTTTTTTTCAGGTATTTGTATCCAGTTATTTTGCATCGGGACGTATATACATGACTTGAAACATATAACATTTTGATTTATGAGAGAGATATTGCCACAAGATGTTGGTGTTGCGGGTGTAATCGAATCTTCTATCTAAGCGAGATTAGCATCTCCAAAATGGAATTGCAAACTCATTTATGTTTACGTGTATAAACTCATAGAGTGAGAATTTATATTAGATCTAGAACTTTGAGAGCACAAGGCCATTCTCAAGCGTCAAGCCTGTGGTTGATAGGAGAAACCATTAACCGTGAGGCCTCCATCAACACAAATGGTTTGACCAGTGATATAAGAAGCTGCAGGTAGACACAAGAAGACCACTAGTGATGCAACTTCATTCGGCTCACCAACACGACCAAGTGGAGTTCTACTCAACAATCCCTCCTTTAAACTGACGTCCTCAAGAAACTTTTAAGAAGAAAAATATGAGAGATTATTAGAGGAATTGAGGTTGTTAAATTCATAACAACAACAACAACAACAAAAAATGTAAAAGTTGTTTTTATTTTACCGATTGAGACTGAGCAGTCTTGACAACATTAGGTGCAACAGCATTGGCTCTTATGCCGTCTTTTGCCCATTCACATGCCAAATTTCTAGCTAGCTGATTTAGAGCTCCTATAAAAGAAGTCACCAAACATCAAAATATAAGGAAGTAAAAAAACTTTTTGTTGATTAGTCAGATTTTTAGTAATTGTGGTTACCTTTTGTTAGACCATAAATGGATCCACAGTCAGTTATTGATACAACCCCAGCAACAGAGGAAAGGAACACAATGCTTCCATAGCCTGAAGCCTTTAAGAGAGGATGAGAAAGTTGGCAAAAATGGAAAGCAGCTTCCAAGTTTGTTGAGATATGAAAAGTAAAATCGTTTGCCACATATTCTGTTGTTGGCTTTCCGTGAAGTACGCCCACATTATTTACCTATGTTGAACAAAAATAAGATTTCTCTTCAGAAAAATTTATAAGCAATATGATTAGTTGTTTCTATATAAAGATCATTTACTTACAAGAATGTTGAGTTTGCCATCGAAAAGCGAGGAGACAGTTTGCATCAATTTTTCTCTCGCGGGACGAGAGGTTACATCACAGACTGAACCACTCACTTGAAACCCTTTATTTTCCCATTCTCTTAAACTTTGATTGAGCAGAGTTTCGGATATGTCGCATATATGGATTTTAGCTCCAAAACTAGCTAACTCCTCTACTATGGCATAACTAAAACATTCCACAAACATGAATTCCTTGAAATCAGCTTGACTATTCAGGAAGTTATATCGAAGCAGAACATAGATAAAAGAGAACAGAGAAGAAGTACGAACCCAATTCCGCTGGCTCCACCGGTCACAAGAGCAGTCATACCTTGAAGACTCCATCTTTTGTCCATTTTTCTTGTAATCTTACTTGCAGTGACCAGAAAATGCCACAAATTATATATACAATGAATATGGATCAGATAAATGTGAATCAATGGGTATGTGTGGTGGAAATATTATGTAGCCGTAATAGAGGACATTACCAAAAATATCTAAGCTAGTGGTCCTGGCCAAAATGACTTTTTGTTGTCAAAATCTTTGATCAAAACTTTCTTATGTATAGATAACAACCTTTTAGTGTCTTCCAAAAGTAGAAGTCTGATGTCACAAGATTCTGTCTTTGGGCTTGATCGAGTGTTGTAGCTTATATTTCTCATTTGAGTCCAAGTTGTGTTCTGCTTTTGCCTACTCTGTTTTTGCAAGGCTTAGTTTTTGACTTTTTGTTATAACCCATTGTAGGACTTTATAAAAGGGTATGCTTAGTTTCTTTAAATTAAGATTAACTTACGAGAATGTTGAGCTTGCCATCAAACACGTTTGAGGCGATTTGCATGTGTTTCTTTATCGTGAAAAAAGATATGCATGCATCAAAAACCGAACCACAATTAAAACCAATTCGCACAAAATCTTATTGAGCAGAGTTTTGCATAAGTTACAAGGTCATTAAAGAGTTTAAGATATTTTGACAAAACGGCAACAAGGCCAGGCCATTCTTAAGCCTGTGGCTGATAGGAGAAGCCATTAACAGTGAAACCACCATCAATACAAATGGTTTGACCTGTAATATAAGAAGCTGCAGGTAGACACAAGAAGACCACTAGTGATGCAACTTCATTCGGCTCTCCAGCGCGACCAAGTGGAGTTCTACTAAATAATGCCTCCTTGAAACCGACGTCGTCAAGATACTTTAAGAACACATAATTAAGAAATAATTAGAGGAATTGAGATTAATTACATTCACATAAAAAAAAAATAAGTTTTGTCTTTTTTTATTACAGATTGAGACAGAGGAGTCTTGACAACATTAGGTGCAACAGCATTGGCTCTTATGCCATCTTTTGCCCATTCACATGCTAAATTTTTAGTTAACTGATTCAAAGCTCCTGTAAAAGAAATCAACATAAAAAAGCAAAAAAATGAAAACTACTTCTTGATTAGTCAGTCTTGCAATAAACTTCCTCTAGTAGCAACTTTGGTTACCTTTTGTTAGACCATAAATGGATCCACATTCAACTGATACAATCCCTGTGACAGAGGACATAAAGACGATGCTTCCAAATCCTGAAGCCTTTAAGAGAGGATGTGAAAGCTGGCTAAAATGGAAAGCAGCTTCCAAATTTGTTGAGATGTGAAAAGAGAAATCATCTGCCACGTATTCCGTTGTTGGCTTCCCGCGAAGTACACCAACATTGTTTACCTATATATTAAGATTTCTGTTAAGGAGCTCTCTTTAAACAACTATGCTTGGCATTTCTATAAAGATCATTTACTTACTAGAATGTTGAGTTTGCCATCAAACAGCGAGGAAACGGTTTGCATCAGTTTTTCTCTATCGGGACGAGAAGTTACATCACAGACTGAGCCACTCACTTGAAACCCTTTCTTTTCCCATTCACTCAAACTTTGATTAAGGAGAGTTTCAGAGATGTCACATATATGGATTCTAGCTCCAAAACCAGCTAACTCCTCTACTATGGCATAACTAAAACATTTACAGAAACATAAGTTCCTTAAAGTCTTGACAATTTAGGATGTGAAATATAAGTAGAAAAATGAGCCAAAAAGATGATATATAGAGAACAGAGAAGTAAGACGAACCCGATTCCGCTGGCTGCACCAGTTACAAGAGCAGTCATTCCTTGAAGACTCCATCTTTTATCCATTTTTCTTGGTTGTTACTAGCAGGGACCAGAAATGCCACATATTATATATAGAAATGAATTATTGAGTATGGGATCAGATAAGTGTGAATTATTGAGTATGTTTGTATGTGTGGATGAGAAACTATGTAGTAGTAAGAGAGAGAAGATGTCCATTGAGTCATCATATTGCATAGGGATTTTAATTTTTAAAGAATGGTGTAATGTCACATGATTCTGTCTTTGGGCTTGATATCGATCGACTAAGCTGATGAGTCCATCTTCTCATTTGAGTCCAAGTTGTGCTCTTCTCTGCTTTCGTCTGTTCTGTTTCTGCAAGGCTTACACTTAGTCTCTTACCAGAAACATCTTCTGGTTAGGTTTCTTAGTCCCAAAATGAATGTAGCTTTAAGGCTTAACCTAAAAATCCAAATCATCAATTTTCATGACATTCAACTTTAAGAGTTGCCAACTGATCAAGCTTTCAATTTCAAATCATTTTTTTGTATATTGTAATATCAATAAAGACAACCATATTATTGCGTAGCTCCATCCATAGTTCTAAAATCAATTCGTTTATTTAGGATTCACCAAGAAATCTTCAGGCTCAGTTTCATTCTATTGAATTTGATCCAACGAAGTGGAGAAACAGAGAAAGCTACGTGCATGGGTTTTTAGCGGAAGCTTCTCTTATCAAGCGGGCTTATTTTGGCCCATAAGCCCACTAAAGGTTTTGGTCTCACCTTAGGGCAATACAAATTACTTGAGGTTTAAGTTACGTGAACGTGTATAAATAATGTCGGCAAGAAAATTAACCTTAATGAATCCCACATCGGAAACATATAAGAATTTAATCTGGTATATAAGAGCATCTCCATCAGTAGACACTATGAGAGTTTCTCAAATAATAATAAAAAAATACAATTTAATTAAATTATTTGTTTTTTTATTTTTTTAATACTTCAACCAGTAAATTTGTGACATGTGGGCAGAAACTGTGTCTCAGAGTTTCTGGGCAGAGAAACTGTGTCTCTCTCTCTCTTCATTTATTACTTTTCTTATTAATAAATTTGGGCTAGACACTCTCCTCCATCCCACCGATGGAAGTGCTCTAAGAAGCCTGAGTTATGCTACTGTTTGCCAATTGGCTTTGGGGTAGTCCGGTAGATGAAGCTTATGGATCTTCTTGTGGAACCCTAGACCCAATAGGGTTCATTGAATTTACAAATGGGAATATATATGATCCTCTCTAACGGGAAGAACCCCATGAGCCAAAGCCAATTGGTTTTTGCGTTTTGCCCTCTGAAATCCACTAAAAAAAAAAGAAATCTCTCTATCACATCTTTTTTTTGGCGTTCTACAAAAAGACTTAGAACAGAGCATATTACAGGAGAGTAGTAACACTAAGTTTGGAACACTCTAAACGAAGAAGCAAGAAGGGAGAGATTCTGAGGATTAAGCCGTTGCTCTCTTGATATATATCACATCTTATTTAAATGTGAGATTCCTAATAACAAAACCAGCTAGTTCTTTTGGTATGGCACGTCTTGGATTTAACAACTTACTATGCTATTTTTTTTTCTTAGTTAGGATTTGGACGAGAACTAATCTCTAAAATAGTAGAGAAGTCTAAGAACATTCGCATGATTCACATGGAGATTACATATATATAATACCTCTGCATAAGCAAAATAAATAATGGGAAATTGGCGTCAGTAACATGTTTTTCTTGGGTGCAAAATTAAGAAAGTATAGTATCATATGTTTTGTGCACTAGCTAGCACCGATGCTATTTTTATTCTTAACTGTTTTCATTGGACAACACACACAACATAAGACCTAGCTAGCTCAAGCCTGTGGCTGATAGGAGAAGCCATTAACAGTGAGACCTCCATCAACACAAATGGTTTGACCTGTAATATAAGAAGCTGCAGGAAGACAGAGAAATGCCACAAGCGATGAAACTTCATTTGCTTCTCCAACGCGCCCCATCGGTATCCGTTGCTCTGCTTCTTTTTTAATCTCTTTATCACTGAGAAGCTGAGGGATTTTCATATACATTAAAACTTAAATTCAAAAGTAATCTTTTTTATTCTCATAATACTAAGGAGAAATTGGCCTTACATCACTAATCAAAGGAGTTTTGATTACCCCTGGACAAATAGCGTTAGTTCTTATGTTGTCGCTTGCCCATTCGCAAGCTAAGTTTCTAGCCAGCTGATTCATGGCTCCTGAAATGAGTTCATATACACTTGCATAACAATCATAACGCATGGAAACATTGTTTTAAAGAGTATATACAGTACCTTTGGTTGCTCCATAGATGGATCCAACACTGACATGCACGACTCCGGCTATTGAGGACATGAGCACAATGCTCCCTGAGCCAGAGGCTTTCAACAAAGGGTGCGCTAGCTGTGAAATATGGAAAGCTGACTCGAGATTTGTAGCCATTATAAACGAGAATTCTTCTGCTGTATACTCTGTGGTCGGCTTAAGTATAAACGTTCCTGCATTGTTTACCTACATAGACACACAATTAAAAAATCAACACGATCTGGTTCTTGTACATCCCCAGCTCGAGGTGGAAGAGATTATATATACACTTACGAGGATATTGAGTTTTCCTTGGAAGAGAGAGGAAACGGTTTCGATGAGTTTCTCTCGTTGGTCACGCAAAGAAACGTCGCAGACAGATGTGGTGACCTGAAACCCTTTTCCTTGCCATTCACGCAAACGTTCTTGAAGCTGAGTCTCGTCTCTGGCACATGTGTGGACTCTTGCTCCCAACATTGATAGTTCTTCCACCACAGCTTCCCTATTCATGACACACACAAACATAGTAAGTTCTTCCATAATTGTAAATCACAGTAGAATAATAGAACATATAAAATGGGGACTGACCCGATTCCTTTAGTGCCACCGGTCACAAGAGCAGTCATACCTTGAAGACTCCATCTTTTATCCATTTTTCTTGTATCTTACTTGAAGTGACCAGAAATGCCACCACAGATTTTGTATATACAATGATTGTGGATCAGATAAGTGTGAACTTAATGAGTGTGTTTGTATGTGTGGTGGAAATATTAAGCTAGTGGTCCTGATCAAAAATGACATTTTATTGTCAAAATCTTTGAGCAAAACTTACCTCTTTTTCATTAACTGCACTCACAAAAAACAACTGAAACTAGAAGTCAGAATGATTAACAAAATTAGTAAACAATACAAGTTTAGATAACAACATTTTAATCTGTTCCAAAAGTCTTAACAGAACAGAAGAGCAGAGCTCCTTCGTCAATGGAATATTGAGATCTTTCATCTTCTTCATATAACTAATGTCCTTCAGGGTATTTTGACATCCTACATGAACCACTTATAAAAGATAGTGAAAGTAACAGAATTAGCTTTGACTTTCTCAAGTTCTGCAGCATTTATATAGTTGGTTGATTTGAATCACACAGATTCTATCCCTGTAAGATTCTAAGGTATTGTTACTACTTACTAGGATTGAGTTGACAATTGAGCAAAGAAGCTACTATATACAAAAGCAAAGTAGAGTTTTATGAAATAAGCCTCTCTGTTTCTATGCCAAGACACTGAAAGACCGAAAGGGTTCTAAAGGCGTGTAAGTTTGTTTCAAGTAAGAATCTATTTTGTCATAGAACATTTTGATGTATGAGAGACAATGTTGCCGGCCGTGTAATAATCTTCTATCGGACCAAGATTAGCGTTTCCACAATGTAATTGTGAACTAGTTCGTGCATAAACCAAAAATCATAGCGTGAGAGTTTTTATTAAAGAGAGAACATTGAGCGTTTAGGACAACAGGGAAAAACGTGACAAGGTCATTTCTCAAGCCTGTTGCTGATAGGAGAAGCCATTAACAGTAAGACCTCCATCAACACAAATGGTCTGACCAGTAATATATGAAGCTGCAGGTAGACATAGAAAAGCCACAAGTGATGCAACCTCTTTTGGTTCTCCAGCGCGACCAAGTGGAGTTCTACTGAACAGTGCCTCCCTGAAACCGGCGACATCAAGATACTAAAAGAAACAAAATTGAGACATGATTAGAGGAATTGAGGTTGTTAAATTCACTAAAATATGTTTAAATTTGTTTTTTCTTTAAATATATTACAGCTTGAGCCAGAGCAGTGGTGATAAAATTAGGAGCAACAGCGTTGGCTCTTATGCCATCTCTTGCCCATTCACATGCCAAGTTTCTTGCTAGCTGATTCAAAGCTCCTGGACATATAAACATAACATATATATATTGATTTAGTATTTCTATGATCTGCAATTCTGCATGCATCAGATAATACTTAGGAAAGTCTATGTACCTTTGGTTAAACCATAGATGGATCCACAGTCAATCGATACAACCCCTGCAATAGACGAAATGAAGACGATGTTTCCAGAGCCTGAAGCCTTTAAGAGAGGATGTGAAAGCTGGCTAAGATGATAAGAAGACTCCACATTTGTTGACATCAGGAAGGAGAAATCATCTTCCACATATTTCGTTGTTGGCTTTGTGCGAATTACGCCAGCGTTGTTCACCTATGTTGAATCAAAAGAGTAAAACAACAATCTTGTTCACTGGTTAAATCTTAAAATCTAATCTTTTGCTTACAAGAATGTTGAGCTTGCCCTCAAACAGCGAGGAGACAGTTTGCATGAGTGTTTCTCTCTTTGGACGAGAGGATACATCACAGATTGAACCACTCACTTGAAATCCTTTCTTTTCCCACTGGCTTAAACTTTGGTTGAGCAGTGTTTCAGATATGTCGCATACATGGACTTTGGCCCCAAAACGGGCTAGCTCCTCTACTATGGCATGCCTAAAACATTCCACAATCATAAATATCTTGAAATCTTGACCATTTTGGATATCAAATAGAAGAAGAAAAATGGGGAAAGAAGATGATAAAGAGAAAGAAAGACAAACCCAATTCCTCCCGCTCCACCGGTCACAAGAGCAGTCATACCTTGAAGACTCCATCTGCTGTTATCCATCTTTATCTATCACTTATAACTAACAAGAGCTTCTTCAGATTATATATATAATGAAGATAGATTACTAAAACTTTGTAAATAAGAAAGCATAAAATTGCATGATAAACATTGGGCAACTCCTGATAGTTACATCTAATACTGTCCATATTCCAAATTACCCAAAACCCACTATTTCACGTCTCATTAGTCATTACTCTAAATGAAAACCCTTAGTGACATCTGCATAGTTTGATGGACCACCCTTTGACACCAATGCTGAGGACAAAAATGTCTCAACATCAATTCTGACAGTATCTTGTACTATATGGTATGTCTGACCACTTGTCTTAATTTTTGCTTGACTAAGATTTGAACCAAAGCTCTTTTCTAAATTACTAGAGAATGCCCATGGTTATTGCATTTTGGAATTTCAAACCAAACCACTCTGCATCACATGTTGAGATACCAAATGATACTATTACTCTATTAGGTGTTGGCCAAAGTAGATAATGAATTCAGATATTGAACTCTCATTCACCGCAAGCAATAATTATTCAGGAAACAAAACATAGAGAATATATAACAAGAAGAAGACGGACCCAATCCCTTTGGCATCACAAGCGAATTTAGATAGGAACTTATCTAAACTAAAATTCTTATGCAGGAAAATATAATCCAAACACATGCATATATGTGTTCTAAGGCAGAGTCTTGAAGGAAAAAATGTTGGCCGTGGCGCCTCCATCAAAGCAGATTGTCTGACCTGTTATATAAGAAGCTGCAGGAAGACAGAGAAATGCCACAAGCGACAAGACTTCATTTGCTTCTCCAACACGACCCATCGATGGTCTACTCTCCACCTTTTCTTTTGCGTTTTCTTCACTGAGAAACTGAAACATTCTCACAGACGTTAAAATTGGGAAGTTATGATATAGATTTATTTTCACAGTACTAAAAAGAATTTTTCTTTTTGGCCTTACATCGTTTGTTAAAGGAGTTGTGATGAACCACGGACAAACAGAGTTAGCCCTTATGTTGTCACTTGCTCATTCACAAGCTAAGTTTCTAACCAGTTGATTCATGGCTCCTCAAACGCGTATATGTATACTTAAAACTTACATAAGCATCATAATGCAAGGGAACATTGTTTTAGGATGTATATAGCTGATTCATGGCTCCTGAAATGCGTTTATATACGGTACCTTTGGTTGCTCCATAGATGGATCCGACACTCAGAGGGACAACCCCAGCGACAGAGGACATAAGCACAATGCTCCCTGAACCTGAAGCTTCCAACAAAGGATGTGCGAGCTGCGAGAGATGGAAAGCTGACTCCAGATTTGTAGCCATCAGCAACGAGAAATCTTCTTATGTATACTTTGTGGTCGGCGTGGCTATACATGTTCCTGCATTGCTTACTACCTGTATATATACATTGAACCAAGAACATTATTAAATACACACAAAACGATTAGATCCTTACAAGGATGAGGAATTGAGGAGCTTATTACACTTACGAGGATGTTAAGTTTTCCTTGGAAGACAGAGGAAACGGTTTACATGAGTTTCTCATGTTGGCTACGTCGACAAGAAATGTCGCAGACAGAAGTGGTGACCTGACACCCTTTTGCCTGACATTCACCTAAGCGTTCTTGAAGCTGAGTTTCGTCTCTGGCACATGTGTGGACTCTTGCTCCCAACATAGCTAGTTCCTGACCATAAGAGAATAGATTTAGATATTACTTATCATCGACATTTAACAAACATATATGGTCATTTAATCACTGATCTTAACCAAAAGCAGAGCTAGTGTGCTGTAAATTCAAGTGAAAAAGAAGACTGACCAGAGACAGGTGGCGGTAATTCATTAAAGATTCCTCGTGTCTTTTCTGCAATTTCTCTCCTTCCTCGACCATTGTTGGGTATGAGTGCAGGTTCAAGACACAATGAAAGCCAAAACCAATACAAGCCAGTGAACACTCATTGAAGAAACATAAAGTTGTTGTTTTCATAAAAGTCATAAGATGAAAAGTTCCTCTGTACTTTTCCACCACATGCAAAATCAAGATAATAAGTAATAGATAATGGAAACTTAATCACGCTATCTGATGCTAAATTATCTTTTTTCATTAACTGTAGACTTAGTACCACAACTTAAGTTCTCATGAAAGTAGAAAGCAGAAAGCTGTTTAGTCTCAAGCGACGAATTGCTTTCACGGGAGAAAAGACATATACTAAAGATCAAACAAGGGATCCCAAGGAAACTAGTAAATTGACAGAGTGGTCTAGTCATGTCGTGGGAAGAAACCATTAATTGACATTCCTCCATCAACACAAATAATTTGTCCCGTAATATATGATGATGCAGGTAGGCATAAAAAAGCCACTGCAGAAGACACCTCTCTCGGTTCGCCAAGTCGACCAAGAGGAGTTACTGAGTAAACTTCTTCTAGGTACTCTTTGTTGCTAAGGACCTGAGACCAAAAAACATGAATCAGCTAACGAGACCATCTCAAATGAATTCGCAAACCAAACTAGCTTCTTCTTTATCATTATGAAATTCAGCTTCAATAGCTCATATTTAATTGCAAGATAAGGCTTATGCAACCATAGAGAATTACTTGCTCCACCATAGATGTTTTGATATACCACGGCGCAACAGCATTGATCCTTATATTGTCCTTGGCCCACTCGCAAGCAAGACTTCTCGTAAGTTGATTAATTGCTCCTAAAACACAAAGGCCAACGAAAAGAACCAAAGTTTATCGATTGCTTGCTCCTTATAGTTTCTAAGACATTTTGGTATAACCTGAATGAACGAATGCTGCATAAGAGGAGATACCTACCTTTGGTTGCAGATTGAACCGACATATTCTTGAGTGAGACAAAACCAGAAACAGAAGAGATGGATACAACACTGCCAGCCTCAGATGCTCTAAGTAACGGATAAGCAAGCTGACATAAATGGAAAACCGATTCGAAATTCGTCGACATGAGAGTCGAAAATTCTCCAGCCGTAAACTCTACCATGGGTTTCCTAATGTTCGTCCCAACATTGTTTACCTAAAAGCATCAAAATTTGAAGACAAGATTACACAAGAAAGAAACTTGTTTTCTACAATTGTTCTCACAGACAAACCAACAAACACTTTATGTGCATTAAACCTTACAAGGATATGGAGCTTCCCGTCAAAGACAGATGATACAGTCTCCATCAAATCCTCTCTCTGAGATCGATCAGAGACATCGCAGACGGATCCCGCAACTCTGAAACCAGAACGGTTCCAATCACTCAAACAATTCTCTAGCTCGTTCTCATTTCGAGCGCAAGTGTGAACCTTTGCTCCAAGACCAGCCAATTCCTCTACAATCGCACGCCTGTACTTAAACAGTAACACACACTAGTCTGAGACTTTGCGTTTGATAAAGGCTCACACTTTTTGAAATTGGAAAGACGTGAAGAGAGACAAACCCGATCCTGCGAGTGCCGCCGGTGACAAGAGCAGACAATCCATTGAGAGACCATCTTTCGTTGGAGGTAATGGCAATGGAGCTCTGTGATGCGCAAGGGACGAAGACGGAGGAGGATGAGGATTTGGGTTGTGGGTTTATGCGTTTGAAAGAGAGGTATAAGTGAGGTTTAAGGGAAGGAGAAGAAGGAAGAAAGTGAAGGTTTTGAGGTGGATTTGTGTACAAGTGAGAAGCCATGTCAAGCACGGCACCACCAAATACCAAGTGATGCAGAGCACAGCTTCGAATTTTATACTAATATTTTGAGTTTTTGACACATTAATAGTAACTCAATCATTTTAACTTCATTTTAGATATTATATATTTTCAATAATTATTAACCAATCGTTATAAAAAAAATGATTTTCAATCATTGCAAGTTTACCATTAATTAATATAAATTAATAAAACTAAAAAATCAAGTTTCGTGGAACAAACAACAAAATAGTGTATGCTTATGATTGATAAAAGTGCAAACATTGCATAAATGTAGAAAACTAAAAAAAGGACCACACACACATTTTCAAAAAAAAAATGTGTATAATAAAACATATAATGGCATATTTAAGGATTTTATTTTATTTGATATTTTTTTTTATAAAATTGGAACTAAGAGTTAGGGGTGACAAAATGAGCTGTCAACTCATGACCTAGCTCAATTTTTCTTGAGTGTGAGCTCTATTTTTAAAGTTCATTTAATAAATGAGTTCAATGATCGAGTTTAATTTAGATCGCGAGTTATGTGAGCGAATGGACATGATATAGCTCATGAGCTAGGCGTTTTAAAAAATTCAAAAGATATATATATATATATATATATTGTAGAAATACCAACAAAAGCATATATCTATATTTTCCATCAAATATAACAAATATATAAATCTTTAATAAAAAAATTTTGTTTTACATTATAACTTTATAAAATAAATATAAGTAATAAAAATAATCTATTTAAGAAAATTATCTAAATTGTTTTAAAATAAAAAGATAGAAATGATCCTATTTAGAAATTGTCTCGATCTCTTTATATAAAGTCATCGTCTCTCTTACAACTTCACAAGTCACAAGTCACAAACTTCATTGATCTCAAATTAGGATTTGATTCGTTAACTTTGCATCAATCGTAATTTATATCTCAAAATAACTAAGTATGTTATGTCTCAAATGACATGAGTTTTGCTATCTAAGTTATGACTTTTGAAGACGTTTTTGGATTTATTTTAATAGTTAAGTTTTTAGGGTTATTGTTATTAAAACTTAACGAGTTAGGTAGCAGTACTAAAACTTAAAACCTCATGTTTTGAAAGACTTAATGAGTTATGTTTCGAAAAGCTTAATGAGTTAGGTAGCAGTACTAACCTTAATAGTCATGTTTCAACAGAGCTAAATTCATGCCGTCTGATAATTCTTGGTTAGATTGTCTTCATTAGATTGATTTACTCTTACTCCATGTACATGTCAGTACCAAAAACCTGCAGATAATTTCATATTCAGACTAGAGATGTAATTTATCAAGCTTGATCCTAAATTGATATCAATTGTTGAATCTGATAAAAGTTAAGATTGCAAATCATATAGTTTATAATCTATATCTGAACCAATGTAAAAACACAGTCATAAGATTAGATCAAATTAAGATTTTGCATATTGAATTCCATTATTTCAATCCACGATATATAAATGGTCTCTATAATTTGTTGAATTCCTTACAACATAACGATTCAATCACTAATCAATTGAAGAACAATATTCATCGATTTGTATAATAGATACGATTAAACTTGAGAATTCGATGTACCTTTAAGACGTATTTCTAATTCCACTGATCCGGAACATAATCGATGACCTATAGTTCTTGAATTCTTCAATTCCGAAATTGTTTGAGAGGAATGAAATTGCATGCATTTATCAATCTTCCAGCTCAATTAAGAAGAATTAGAAATCAAAATCGTCGAAAGATGTTTATTACAAGGATTCCGACTTCTCTCCATTATCAGAAATCGAAAACGAAGCAGTAGCGGTCGTTTGTTTTTCTGTCTTTTTTTTTTTTCGAAAACATTATTTTTTCTGTTTTTTTTAATCATTTATGCTATTATTAAAACAAAATCAAAGTTGATTACTTAAAGATTGGGCCTATTTTTATTTTGCAACTTTAATATTGAACCCAACTTGGCCCAATTTTATATATATCTCAACATTTTTATATCCATTACAATATTATCTAATCTTTTATTAAGAAAACATTTTTCCCACATAAATAAATATAATACAACATTTAATCCTATTAACAAATAAAATTACACATGCTATGACATAAATTTTATAATTTTGATTCTATTATATTATTTGCTTTTTAATACACCTTTTATAATTTAATTTTATTAAAAACAAATTATCACCCGTGCTATAGCACGGGTTATGATCTAGTATATCTATATTTTCCATCAAATATAACAAATATATAAATCTTTAATAAAAAAATTTTGTTTTACATTATAACTTTATAAAATAAATATAAGTAATAAAAATAATCTATTTAAGAAAATTATCTAAATTGTTTTAAAAGAAAAAGATAGAAATGATCCTATTTAGAAATTGTCTCGATATCTTTATATAAAGTCATCGTCTCTCTTACAACTTCACAAGTCACAAGTCACAAACTTCATTGATCTCAAATTAGGATTTGATTCGTTAACTTTGCATCAATCGTAATTTATATCTCAAAATAACTAAGTATGTTATGTCTCAAATGACATGATTTTTTCTATCTAAGTTATGACTTTTGAAGACGTTTTTGGATTTATTTTAATAGTTAAGTTTTTAGGGTTATTGTTATTATTATATTTATTTTGTATAGCTCGTGAGCTAACTCATTTAACTCATGATCAAAATGATCTGAGTTCGAGTTTATATAAGAAGCTCATATAATAAATGAGATAAGCTGAGCTAGCTCATGTGATATCCAAGCTCATCATGAGCTGAGTTGAGTTGAGCGAGCTAGCTCATTTTGACACCCCTACTAAAAGTTAATGATTTTGAGAACTATTCGTTCGAACAATGAACATGATGTCCAAAACAAAAAAAATGTTAAACAAAGAACTTTGGGTACCTACCTCTATGAAATATCGTTCTCAAACAAAAATAATAATAATACTATTTCAATATAATTTAATTATAAATTTATCGTGGATATGAATCAAATAAATCTACGTTCAGTGCATGGCATACAGTTTCAATACGGTCTATTAAAGTGGAAAATGGGGAAACAATTGTGTTTGTGTAGAACAGTCACGGTCTGAAGAGTGGAGATAGTGGTTATATCAAAGTATCTATGGACGTGATGTTGTTGGAGGTTAAGACACACCCAGAGAAAGAACTAACATGTCCATCCCCTGGTAGATTGTTCAGGTCGTTTATTTATGGAGAAGTTCGAACAGAATATGAGGTATTTGCTTGTTAATTAACATTTGAAAGTCATTTATTTTTGTTTTGTTTTGTTAAATGGTAGCGCCAACAATTAATTTTTCTAATGCTTTTTCTATTTTTCAGAAGGAAGTTGCCGAATGCTATGTTGATGGTGAAAACAATAATGACCAAGTCACTAGATAGAAAAATACAACGTCCTTGAGTTTTGAAGGGATTTTCAATAACACATCTGGAAAAATGTTTGAATCTAAGGTATGAATAAAACAATATAGAATTTTCAATTTAATTAATAATTATATTTGGTGAAACAATGTATATCTTTCGATGACAGGACGGTGAAAACGAGATTATTGGAAGCCCAATAGACAGAGTGATGTTCAAATGGGCGATACATGTTTTCTTTCCAATTTCACTTCCAACGCAGTTCTAATTCTGTCTTTTAACTTAACAAAGACTTTACACGTGCAAAAACAAAACCAAAACCAAAATGAAAACAAAAGCAAGATACAAAGAAACATATAGAAAATAACAGACTTACCATAAGGTTCATGAGAATTCATACTACTCAAGTCCAAGTTTCTTCTTCACCCAAGTCTTAGAACTTGTGTAGATTTCTGCCTTTGACTGAACAAATATTTTACCCTGCATTATAGATTTCTTTTCCACTTGTAGCAACTATAGCCAATGCATGGTTCTCTAATTGCCATTTGAGAAACCTTTGGTTATATGATCTCCTTCCAATATAAAAGACAATTATGCCGACAATTACATGTGATAACACCAAGATGATTTCCAGACCTCTAGCAAGGCAAGTTTCTGATTATGATTGATAAAAGTGCCAACATTGCATAGCTGTAGAAAACTGAAAAATAGAAACACTCCCATTTTCAGAAAAAAAAAGTGAATATAAAACATTAAATATTTAATTTGTATTTTTATTATAGAGAAAAATTTTGGAGGAAAAGTCCTAATGAAAGTTTCAAGGATATTAATAAAATGGTTTGTTATAGCAATATATAAAAAGTTAAATACTCACTTGAGATTGTTTAGCTTCTTGCTATAGACAAAAACAGGTTTGCATATGAAAAGTTCAAGTTTTCAGAAAGCTATAAAAAGAGAAAACAATGAACATAGTTATATAAGTAACTTCAATCTCTGAAAACCTTCAATGCCGATTACCTCAAAATCCATAGCTCTATCAATAATCTTCATTTTATACCTAGTTTCTTTTGTTTTTCTCTTTTTTCTTTTTTTGATAACTCAAGTGATCTTAAAGGCCCGAGAAAACCATGTTAGAATTCGAACCTTGGTGGCCAATGCTACTCGAACCTAAGTGGCGGAGACTTTTCTCTCCTTTACCACCAAAAGTGATTAGTTTAATTAACTGGGTTTTTCGAGGAATGAAGAAAGGATATATGAAAGGCTATTTGTTAAAGAGATGCGACCAAAGAATCAATACAAAGGATTTGGTGTTTCGGGAAATGTTGTTGGTTCTAAAAACAGGACTTCTCTGCGTGAGACGATGTCCAGAAGCAAGGCCAATGATGAAGAAAGTGTTGCAGTATCTCAACGGTACAGAAAGTCTCCCTCATGACGACTACGTCATCTAAAAGAGGAAGTAGCAAACGGTGGTCTCGAAACGCGGTTGTATTGAAGCGTTTGCATTTTGAATAATATTTTAAAGATTGGACCAAGACGCATTAAGTATGATGTGAATAAAACCTAGAATGGTATTTTACTCAATTTGTAAAATTGTAAATTAGAATTTTTTGTTTTGAGAAATGTTCTTGTCAGTTG